AGTTTTAATTAATAGATTGACATTTATTTTTAACCTAGCTGGTTAACGTAAACAACAAGAGCGAAGTTTCGCTCAAAAATAAACACAGTATGTCAGTAGGGCTATTTATACGACTATACCAGCGAAATAAGCCGTCGCTCGTCTTATTTAAAGCACGAAAAAATACTATGTAGTCCCGTATAAATGTTCTTGTTCGCGACTTTATTTTCGCTTGTATATAAACTGACATCAGGCTATTGACTATTTTTCACACAAACACACACAAAAACATGAAATTATTACCATTGTATGTCCTACACGCGAAATTTGATCCATTAACACTACATGCCGTGCTTCTTTTACCTCGTTCCAGACTTTTTCCGCGAACCCCACCCTAGCGAATTGAATTCGACACATGCAAAATGCGACGTTTGAAACAGGTCGCATTTAGCTCGCACTTAGCTCGCATTATGCGACCGGTCGGGTCGAATTTAAAGTTAAGGTCGACCACAATTAAAAACGTCGCATTTAATCGTTTCAGACGTCGAATTTTGCATGCACATAATTCAAGCAATTGAATTCGACACATGCGAAATGCGACGTTTGAAACAGGCCTAAGCGACTTATTAAAAAAGACTTATTTATTAATTTATAGATTCTGAAGGAGCACAGCATATAGAAACTTTGTGTGGATGGTTTATGGACAACTAGGAAATAGACATTTTTGCGCATGTGAGAAAATAAAGCCTGCTGATTGATGAAGACTTTGTAGGATTTGTAGAGGACAGCTCTTGATATTATATAATTATTTTTCAATAAATAAACCTATTACACTGTATAAGCGTAGTAATATTATACTGTATTGCGTATAGAAACAGCACATTTGCTATATTCATGCTTCAATATTGTTTTGCCAAAGAGACTGAAATTTGAGTTTAAGATTTGTATCTGATGTTTTCCTGCACTTCGTGCGTGCGGGTTAATTTGTGGAAAGTGTTGCAGCGCGTTTAGGAATTTTTCTGACTTGTATTTCGTTCCAGGCACTGCCTTATACTAGCAAATATGGCAATGACTAAGTTATTTCATTAAGTTGCTTCAATATTTTATACTTTGTAATACATTTTATACACACCGTGACACCCCCACAGTGTATCTGGTTTCATGCCACAATTTGTTATAAAATCTGCATATTGTACGGGTTTTCACTGCGGTGCAAACACAACGAGTGTAGGCTATATATATATAATTTACTGCGTCAAGTTTACTTATACAATTCTACTTTACCTGTCTAAACTAAACTAAAATACAAACAGTACACATTGCTTGTAGACGTAAGAAATTGGCTTTCATCCGCTATATTTTGACCATATTCACTCATAGTCCGCATAGCTATATTGTCACGATATTTTTATATTTCTGGTGAATCCATTGGCTGTGGCTCATTTATATTTATCGCGCTTTCCAGTTTCGTGACTATGACCATATCGGTTGACTGCATCGAAGCAGCTTCTTAATACAACCTATTTAAATAACGAATTTGGAATAAAAATTGGCCATATTCAAGTGCATGATAAACGAAATTAGAGTATCAATTATACGTATACCATTCTCTTGGCTCTCGCAGACAAAGGTTTGTCGTCGACAGTATTGTATATTTTGGAATTGCAACGAAACCAATTTCGTCGGTAGCTAACCGTGGTCTTACCAGCAAACTCTATCTTCGCAAAGTATGCTGAACATTGGATCTCATATTGCTCGTTTTAATAAGGTGCACGAAGTCAACCCGTCTCCTTTTCGCTTCATGCATCTCGCCTCCAGTATAAGGTATAAAATGAAGTGAAATGCCTTTCTTTGTATCTGTGACATTAGAACAACCGCCTGCTACACATATATTCGGCAATTTTTCAGTTTCGTGACTTTTATTTGGGCTATTGCCTCCCCTATGATAGTACATGCAATAGTATTTCCATATTAGTGAGCTAGATAAGTTCCTACTATTACGTCACACGCATTGTTTCGTCCCAGTCTCTTTTGCGCGGTTTTCAGATTTTTCACAAGGCCAAATTCCATGTTTAAACGGCAATAACCTTTACACTAAAAAAGCAATTTCGATTCTGTTTTCGAACTTCCGTATATTTTGTATTATAGATTTCGAAAATATAAACTCTCATTTTGTGACAGGGACACTTTACACCCGTTTTCAAAATTACGCGACCTCCCTGAAAAATACTCCTACTTCAAATGTCAGTTTTATGTCACAAGAACTGCTAAAAATACCAAAACTGAACAAAAATTAGTCAGATAACTTAGATATACAAACTAAAGCACAATACAAACCATCACAACATAAATATGTGCCGTGAATGACTTTTAAAGTTTGAAAAATAACAATTTATCCTGGAATATAGCTGTCAGTATAAAACTCGCGCGCTAGACTATAACGGTGATGTTATGATTTTGTCGTGCTTAAATTTTACAATAATTCTCACTAAAATATCTTGAAAATCATTGTAAGTCTGTTTATATAAAGCATACAAAGCATATACATCGACAAGGAACCGCAAAACTCAAAATTTGAACTTCGTGATCGAATGACATAAAACTGACATGTCAACTCTAGCATTTTCGTCTTTGGTCGCGTAATTTTGAAAACGGGTGTAAGTAAACAGGGCCTTAATTAATTTAGTAGTTTCGTTTAATTGTTTGTGTTGCTTTTATTTGTCAGTACAGAATATTGTAAATTAAAATATTACCACAATGCAATACGCGTAGTATTTCATCAGACATCTGCACTGCATTATAAATACTGTACAAGGAAAACTACAGCTTAAATAATAGTAGACGTTTCTTGTTTTGTCAGGAAACATCACAGCTCACCTCGACACGGCTTTTGAGTTTTGTAACCGGCCGAGACGAAAGTAATTCATGCAGTCGGGAAAACGTCTTACTTTGAAAGATTATTTTGCAAAACATACTCGTACACACAAGAATCATAAAAATACAAATGTTGAATTGTTATTGTCAACTGTCAAGTTCAGTTATTTTTAGACAATATATTGTTAGCCAATCAGAATGCAAAATTGACCGGCCCGGACCAGGGCTTCCTCGTGTCTCGCCTCGTCCTCACACTGAAGCCCTGGGAACGAGGTTGGGGTGTTTCATCTGTAAAGAATCATCAGGATACCGCCGATGATGTTGCGGAATTTTGAGGTAACCGAAATTTTACATTTGCTCTATCTTTATGATATTGAGCACTCTTTGCGTTTCGTATACACAAACCTACTATTATTATTATTATTATTATTATTGTTATTATTGTTATTATAATCATGATAATCAGAGTTGATAAATGTAGCACCTTCGGCATCAGGAAAGTTTTGACAAAATCCGTTCAGTACTTACCGAAACTGCTAATTAACAATGGTCTTATACCTACTATTCAAATGGGAGAATCTTTTAAATATCTAGGAAGATTCTTTGATTTTGATATGTCCGACCAAGGACACAAATCTGAACTAATGTCCCTCATTGATGAACTAATGTCTGATATCGACCATAAACCTCTACACCCAAAAAACAAACTTATTCTATGCAACCGCTACGTTCTATCCAAAATATCCTGGCATCTCACTGTTGCAACCCTGTCGAAAACCTGGGTAACGGAAACAATCGATTCTGTGATTAATCAATACATCAGAAAGTGGCTTGAAATACCCATTTCTGGAACATTAAGTAATATTTATCTAACCCATAACAAATTCGGTCTGAATATCCTCCCTGCATCCGTCAAATTTATCCAATGTCAAACTGTGCTACGCAACGCCTTAAAAACATCCCCAAATGATTCCATAAAAGAACTCTGGAAATCAACTAACAATCACACTAATATTCAGTACGACATATATAATTCAACAAAGGAAGTTCTCAAGGATTTTCATTCTGGACAAGAAGATAAGCTTCAACACCGTCTAATTTGTCAAGGTTCATTTTTCTCGAATGTTGCAAAGTTTTCCTTTTCACAGTTAAACACACTTTGGTCTGCCGCTCAATCAAAACTGCCAAAGAACATTTTCAACTTCACCATCCGTTACATAAATAATTCTCTTCCTACGCGAAAAAACCTTACAAGATGGGGTTTAGCTTCAAGTCCCGAATGTTCCTTTTGTTTGTGTCCTGAAACCCTACTACACGTGGTAGCCGGCTGCCAATCGTACCTTCAGCGCTTTACTTGGAGACATGATTCTATTTTAAACTTTCTCGCTGAAACGTTTCAAACAACAAATCCATGTCAACTTTATGCTGACCTATCCGGACACAAAAGCCCGTCAATTATAACTGGTGACCTATATCGACCGGACTTACTCCTAATTACCCCAAATGAAGATCTTTATGTCCTTGAACTTACTGTCGGGTTTGAATCTAATCTACATAATAATGTTAAACGCAAAAAAGCAAAATACAAAGATCTAATTGAAGATCAAAGGGGTCACTTTAATTCTGTTAAATTTGTAAACCTATCAATGAGCTCTCTCGGTGTGTTTGACAAAGAATGCTTCACCTTTTTAGAAATGTTAGACACTATAGGAATGGATAAAAGGCAGCAACATTACTGCATAAAAAAGATGACGTCTTATGCCATTAGAGCGACGTACTATATTTTTTGCTGTCGAAACAAAGAGTGGACAAACCCTGAATTGTTAAACATTTAAATTAGTAACTACATATAACAATATATATATATATAATCATATACCCATTTTATTCTTGTTTTTACTGCAAATAGTACATATGTAGTACTCTGTGATTCATGTAGCCAATTGTAAATTACCTAAGTCAGTAGTGAGATTTACAATTGTATATATATACGTAAAAAATTCAATAAAGTTTCCATTCTTATGCAGTGATCAGCGTCGGGGGCGGTCATGCTTTCGGCGCTTCTGCTAGTATATTTGTAAAAGCTTTCTTGTTTAACTGCACTTTCGATAGTTTTGAGCTTTTACAAATTCAGTATGAAGATGAAAGGCTTCTACTTGGCAAATATTATGTTGTTCTGGTTGATTATGGGGCAACTCTGGACTATTAAAGCGACAATCTGTGAATATTGTGGCAAAGATTTTAAATCTTTGGGGAGACACATTTGGCGATGCAAATCTCGCGTTGGTCATCCGTCTCATGCTGAAAATGAAAGGCAAAGTAATAACGAACGTTCGTCGAATACAGAAAGGACTGACCACCAAGTCAATATCAATGCTGACGGTGAGCTGGTGGGTGAGTGTGCTAAGTTTAGATGCTATTGTGGCCGTATGTTTTTAAGCTATCGCTCGTTGACTTTGCATCGTCGATCATGCTATATAGGGAATAGTAGCGGCAACCTTTCGGACTTATTTGTTGAAGTGAACAACCCTAATTTGAACGTAGCGGGCGAAGTTTTGACCGAAATGCCTAGTGCTATTTTTCCAAGTCAAAAACCATCGCTGTTAGTAGGAGTTAAACTCCCACGGTAGAAATCTGAATGGGACAGGGCAAACGAATATTTTCGTATGCAGATAGACACTTCGAGGGAACTAGGAAATTTGAATATGGAAATCGATGATTTGAATAGAACTATGTGGGCGTATTTTAGTGCCAATTATGGCCAAGTTAAAGCTAGAAACGAATTCAATCACTACAATAGTATGTCAAAATCAAAGCTAAAGAAATGCCTGAGAAAGCTTAAACTTCAGAACGGCAAACTGAAAGAAATAAAATATGTCAGTAGACTGTTGCGGAAGAAATTTCGGTCACATGTTCAGCGTAATTATGAAGAAGAATTAAGTAAAGATTTTTGGAAATTTTGTAAAAAAGAGTTTGAAGAATCAGAGACACAAGAACCGAATTTTGACGAATCGTCCTGCTATGATTATTTTAGAAATATTTTCTTCGAAAAGCATAAAAACCGAACATTCAACCTTCCCTCTTGGCTTAAACCATTTCCAGTGCCATCGAGCAATTTCGACCTGGAATGTCCAACTTACCAAGAAATAACGAAAATAATTCGGAAAATGAAAAGTAGTGGTTCTCCTTGCCCTATTGACCAAATAAGTATTATTCCTTTTAAACGGTGCCCCATCCTGAGAACACAGCTTTGGAGACTCCTCTCGAAATGCTGGACCGAAAAATATATTCCGACTATCTGGAAACGTGCTGTTGCGGTATTCATTTACAAAAAGGATTCACCTGACAATCCTGCTAATTGTTTTAGAGCCAGTCATGTTGAAAGTTTTCACCTCTGCGATAAGGAACAAAATTTTCAAATTCGTGCGCGATAATAAATATATCGAAACAAACATTCAAAAGGGTTTCTGGCCAGGCTTGTCTGGTACAGTTGAACATACCGAACTGTTAAACTATTTATTAAACCACGTCCGCAACAAGCAGCGGTCTATCATTGTCACTCTAATCGATCTCAAAAACGCATTTGGAGAAGTGCACCATAACCTGATAAAATCTATTTTAAAAAGTCACCACATTCCTGACGAAATCACTGGTATGATAGAAAACCTTTACACTGATTATGGTATCTCAATCTTGACGAAGAATTTTATAACCATACCGATATCTGTAGAACGGGGCGTACTGCAGGGAGACTGTTTGTCCCCCTTGCTTTTCAATTTATGCGTGAATTCACTCATTAACACGATAAATGATGAAAGAATACAGTGCCTTGGTTATGTTAATGATATATCCTTAAACCCTCGTCATTGGTTCCAATTTGCGGACGATGCTGCAATTATATCTGCACATAACGAAGACAATCAAATACTGTGTAATGCATTTAGTAAATGGTCCTCTTGGGCAGACTTATATATCCGAGTAAATAAGTGCCACACTTTTGGGATCAAAAAGTTTGGGACAAAAGCAGTCCAGTATAAACCTACTATAAAAATCTCTGGTCAACCGGTTCCCCCAATCGAGGACGGTGAAAGTTTTATGTATTTAGGTAAACAATTCACTTTTGAAATGGATTGTACTGAAACCAAAATTGAGATCCTTGATGAAATCCAACACTACTTAAAGAAAATTGATCTTATCCCAATAAATCCATTTTCCAAATACGCGTGGTTCAAAGTTATGTCTACTCAAAGTTTTTCTGGCGTTTTTCAATCTATCCGCTTACTATAAGCTGGATACATTCTAATCTGGACTCTATAATTTCCAAATATATCCGGAAATGGCTCCAGATCCCAATCAGCGGTAACATTAGTCATCTAAAGCTTCCTAAATTACAACTGGGAATTGGTTTCTGTTCCCCTCTGACATATATAATCAATGTAAACTGACTGTGCGCAGAATCTTGAGGACTTCTTTCAACTCCGATATTCAACAGCTATATACCAAAACGTCATCAAAAAACATCGTCACTGATGATATTATTGAACGGGCGGCTGCTGGTATCTCTGAACAAATATATGTTAAGAAACGCTGCAAAAAAGATTCTGGTAAAGAGAAACCTTAACGAAATTTGGTCAAACTTTGTAGAACTAAAAGAACAATCCGTGATCATTACCCGCTTATTAACTGATGCTTGCTATAATAAGATGATTAAAGTATGGCACGGAATTGTCACTCGAATGCCCAGCAATATAGTACGCTTTGCTAAGGAGAGCGTTAATTTTAAGTTTAGGAAATAATTCTAACCTAAAGCGCTGGAACATTCGTGACTCCGCCAACTGTGAGCTGTGCATGCAACAAGTTACAAACCCAGCTACACGTTTTTTCCAACTGCAAGGTAGCCCTAGAACAACAACGCTATACTTGGCGGCATGACTCGATTCTGATGACTATTATTATTCATCACTTAAAAGTCGCAGTTGGTGCAGATCTTCGACTGTTTGCGGACTGTCTTAATTCAGGTACGACCTGTACTTCAACTTTATTTCGAACGCTAAGACCTGATATAGTGGTGGATTTTAAGGGTTCTGTATATGTGGTTGAATTAACTGTTCCCTACGAAACCAATTGTACGAAGGCTAAGCGTCGCAAGAAAGAAAGATACAGACATCTAAGATCTGAGCTGATCACGGCGTGTTATGCGTTTGAAGTTATTACACTTGAAGTAACCATTCTAGGGTTTGTGTCGAAAGATATTGACAGATTTCGTAGATTATTACGAACACTTGAAATGAACGACGAACGTATTATTAAAAAATGTATGGAGGTAGCTCTGAGAGCAACATTCTACATTTACTGCAGAAGAAATAAGCCGTGGAATAACCCAGACATACTGAATTTTTATTAGCTACTATTGATATAAAGTGTAGAGAATGGACTGTCTGTCTAATATAGTGAACTGTTTCTCTATTTTCCTGATTTAATTGAAAGTCTAATTATGTGATATATTTGTATAAATTATCATGTTATTAATAAAGATTTCTGTTGTTTAAAAAAAAATTATTATTATTATTATTAAATTTGTCACAAATATTTACAATGACACTGATAAACAATATAGATAACAAGCTACAAGACAACACACGTGACTGGAATGTGGAACAGGACTTACGTCCCAATTAATACCTCACCCCATATATACTTCATGGGCACTTTCTCGGTGTGAGAACAAACGCAAGCTTAACACTATTCTGACCTTGATCATTATTTAAATTCTAACTGATTTACGGTTGTTCTTACACCGAGCTAGGGAGTGAACTTTACTGAACTAAACTAAATACTTAGGTCTTATATTACAAACATTTTCTTCACAAAACTAAATACCAGCTAAGGTTATTAGGAAGTTTGTATGGTTTTGTTTTGATACTATAAAAGTTATTTAAACGAGTTTTAAACGAACATAAACTACTGGATTTCTTAATTTCAGTTGATAGGCTGTTCCAAAGTTTTGCTGTTCTAATAAAGTAAGAGTTTTGAAAGTATTCCTGATTATGTTTTATAATGAGGTGGAAGTTATTTTCGTCATAGTTGCGAGATTGATAGCCGGGGTTGTAAGCGCATAAATATTTGTTTATATCCATTGTTATGAGATGGTGTTTGGATTTGGATTTGGATTTGAACAGCAGTATCAGATCAGAAATTTCTCTTCGGAATTCCAGTGGTAGAAGATTTGTTTTCTGCAACCGATCCACGTACGACATGTTGTCAGGATAATTCAAGATGAATTTTGTGGCCAGCCGTTGAACATTCTCGATGAGCAAACGATTCTCAATGGTGTAAGGCGACCACACGCTGCTTGCGTATTCTAGCTTGGGTCTTACCAGCGCACAATACAGAATTCTTCTTGTGTTGGTATTCTTCACTTCTTTACAAATCCTTTTGATGAGACCAAGTGTTTTATAAGCCTTGGATACAATGCTTTCTATGTGCTTCGACCAGAATAAGTTGTTGGATATGAGCACACCAAGGTCCTTGAAGGTCGACACTTGTTCGAGCATGTTCTCATTGATTGAATACTGAGTTTGCGTAGGTGCTCTTTTTCTTGAGATATGCATGGTCTTACATTTTGTTGCATTTAGTTCCATTTGATTATCAGCAGTCCAGTTTGTTATATTGGAAAGATCAAGTTGAAGTAAAGTAGAAGATGTGGGAAACAAAAGTGGTCGGTAAAGCTTTGAATCGTCCGCAAATAACGCAAGTGAGGAATTATTTTCGATGTAGGTTGGAACGTTGTTACAGTAAACAAGGAATAGCAAGGGTCCGAGTATAGAACCTTGTGGCACATCTGATGTTACGGGAAGCCATTCAGAGCAAACGCCGTGAAGAACGACTCTTTGTTGTCTATCTGTGAGGTAGCTTTGGAACCAAGATAATAGAGATCCCCTGATTCTCAAAGTCTCAAGCTTTCGCAAAAGAAGATGATGTGGTACTTTGTCAAATGCCTTTGAAAAGTCCAGGTATATGGCATCAACTTCATTCCCACTTGCAACTGATTCCAGAATTTCATGATATACTTCAAGTAGCTGTGTGGTTGTGGATTTTCCTCGTATGAAACCATGCTGCATTTGATAAATGTGTGGCTCGAGATGCTGGTAGAACGCAACGTTCTAGGACTTTCGACAAAGTGCAAAGTAGTGAGATTGGCCTGTAGTTCATTGCCAGCGTTGGATCTTTGCGTTTGAATACGGGTGTAATGTTCGCGATTTTCCATTTAAGAGGTACTACACCAAGATTCAATGACATGTTAAATATTTCACATAACGAAGGTGCAATAACGTCCGCAAGTTCGATCAGCAGTCTGTTCGGAATGTTATCTGGACCGCACGCCTTTCGTGAATTTAGTTTGCGAAGAACTCCAACAACTTCAATTTCCGAGAGTTGGATACTAGAAAGCTCGGGCATTGATGACGTTGAGGGTAAGGGAGATTTATTAAATGATTCCGAGCTCTTAGGGTTGAAGACAGAATGAAAATACTACTCGTATATATATATATATATATATATATATATATATATATATATATATATATATATATATATATATATATATATATATATATATATATATATATATATATATATATATATATATATATAGCTTAAGATTTTGGTTTACGAAACACAAACCGTGCTCAATACCATATAGATAGAGTGTAATATAGTTTTTCGTTTTACCTCAAAAAACCACAACAGTCTGTTTCATCCGTATAGGAATTATTCCTATACGGATGAAACAGACTGTTGTGGTTTTTTGAGGTAAAACGAAAAACTAGATTACGCTCTA